TGCCCACTGACGGGAAAAGGGGAAACATAACCCCCATTTTTAAAAGGAGAAAACAGGAACACCTAGGGAACGACAGGCCAGTCAGTCTCACCTCTGGGCCCAGCAAGGTCATGGAGCAGATCCTCCTGGAAACTGTGCTAAGGCAAGTGGAACATAAGGAGGTGAATTGGTGACAGCCAACATGGCTTCATAAGGGCAAATCATACCTGACAAATTTGGTGGCCTTCTCCGACGGGGTTACGGCATGGGTGGATATGGGGAGAGCAACTGACGTCATCTGCCTGGACTTGTGCAAAGCATTTGACACTGTCCCGCATGACATCCTTGTCTCTAAATTGGAGAAACATGGATTTGACCGGTGGACCACCTGTTGGATAAGGAATTGGCTGGATGATTGCACTCAAAGAGTTGTGGTCAATGGCTCGATGTCCAAGTGGAGACCAGTGATGAGTTACTCAGGGAACGGTATTGGGACCGGTGCTGTTTAATATCTTTGTCAACGACATGGACAGTGGGATTGAGTGCACCCTCAGCAAGTTTGCCGACGACACCAAGCTGTGTGGTGCGGTCGACACGCTGGAGGAAAGGGATGCTGTCCAGAGGGACCTTGACAGGCTTGAGAGGTGGGCCTGTGCGAACCTCTTGAACACGGTCCTGCACGTGGGTTGGGGCAACCCCCAGCATCAATACAGGCTGGGGGATGAAGGGATTGAGAGCAGCCCTGCTGAGAAGGACTGGGGGTACTGGTGGATGAAAAGCTGGACATGAGCCAGCAATGTGCGCTCACAGCCCAGACGGCCAACCGTATCCCGGGCTGCAACAAAAGAAGCATGGCCAGCAGGTCGAGGGAGGTGATTCTGCCCCTCTGCTCTGCTCCGGTGAGACCCCACCTGGAGTACTGCATCCAGTTCTGGGGCCCCCAACGTAAGAAGGGCATGGACCTGTTGGAGCGAGTCCAGAGGAGCGCCGCAAAGATGATCAGAGGGCTGGCGCACCTCTCCTATGAAGACAGGCTGAGAGAGTTGGGGTTGTTCAGCCTGGAGGAGAGCAGCCTTCCAGTATCTGAAGGGGACCTATAAGAAAGCTGGAGAGGGACTTCTTACAAGGGCATGTAGTGATAGGACAAGGGGTAATGGCTTTAAACTGAAAGAGGGTAGATTTACATCAGATATAAGGAAGAAATTCTTCACTGTGAGGGCGGTGAGGCACTGGAACAGGTTGCCCAGAGAAGCTGTGGGTACCCCACCCCTGGAAGTTTCAAGGCCAGGTTGGATGGGGCTTTGAGCAACCTGGTCTAGTGGAAAGTGTCCCTGCCCATGGCAGGGGGGGTTGGAACTAGATGATCTTTAGGTTCCCTTCCAAGCCAAACCATTCTATGATTCTATGATACTCTTCTTTTTGACATAATACATGTACCAAAAGAGTTCTCTCAGATGTAGAGGTATTAAAAGGAGGAAAACAGTGGTTAGCAAATAAAGTTGTAATTCAGAGTTCCCTGTGAAGACTGAGGTCACTCCCTATTTGGTGACACTCACGTATGCTTGTCTTTGAATTAGTGTTCAGCTAAAAGTTACCTCAATAAGCACAGATGAGACTAAGATAAACTGCTTGCCCTCCGGCAGAATAAATATTTCAAATAAAATCAACTCTAGACAGTCCAGTCAAGCAGCTATTGATCTCTAAAAGCCTGAACTTAAACCCAATGAATATTCCAGAGATCAGCTCTGTGCAACCTTCCTAAATGCTGATCAATATGCAATTACTTCCCCTGAAAACATTTCTTACGTTGTCTGGCCTAAGTAGTATTTTATTTTTAGCTCCCTGTAGAGGGGAGGCGGGGGTGTTGAGCCACCCTCCTGCACTGCTCTTCACTCGTGGGTAGAACTCGCTGCTGCACCAGATCCCAGCTGCACGTGGTGCTTTCAACAACCGCGTCGTGCCTGTTGGAAGCACCCGCAGCTGCGCTGGGCAAAGTAACTTTCTTTTAGGCTAGGATGTTAATACATGTTTTTTTTAGTTTGCATGTTGTTAGGCGTTCACAAAGGTAGATCTTTAAAGGGAAGGTGTTTTCCACAGCTCTCTGGAGCTTGGGCTTCGGGAAGCCCTGGATGAGAGGACCCTGCTGATGGACGTGAGGTCCGGGTGTCCAGCTGCGGGGCAGCTCAGCGTGCGCTGTTTGCAGGTGGGCAGGCTGCTCCCGCACTGCTGGGCTTGGCAGGTGGGTGCTGCTGCCTCCACGGGGGGAAAGAGGCGGGGGGGCTAAATGTGTGAGTGGTTTGCTCTTTATAGATCCTTATTCCTGGTCCACAATAATACCTGAGCACCTTAGAGTACTGCAGAGCAACTAGCGTGTGTCCGAGGAGAACTGTTCTTTCATCGTCTCTCCAGGGGAAGAGCACAGCTTGTTTCTGGGGGGGTTTATTTTCATATGTGCATGTAGCTATATATTTGTTAGAGAACAAATTCTCTTAGAGAAGAGAAAATCAGAGGAGTTTGCCATGCACTTCTGGTGGAAGGTGGTGGGGCTTGTGACTGACCTGCCCTGGGGCAAATGTCTCCTGGCCTGGTCTTGCCTGTGGAGATGATGGGGGCTCTCGTTCTTCAGCTCACATTAGTTTTTTACCTGGTCTGTTGGTTTTATGGGCTGTATTTTTACTGCTTTTTCAGTTCATGTTTCACAAGATATTTTAAATTTTCCCCTGGATGAATTTTAAATTCCTCTGTTTCTGGTTTGAGAGGTACAGGACTTTTGGAGATCATTTTCAGACCATCTGTGTGCTATCGGTCTGAGTTACGGGCATCAGCATTCTGAACTCGCATTAAAACAGGATAGCCCAGAATCGGTCTGCTTCCTTCCAAACTTGGTTTCTGGAGATGGGGTTTTCTTCATTACAGCTCACCACCAAGCTAAGCTTACCAAACTTACTCCTTTATTAAATTGAATTATTGCTAGGTCTAAATCCTGATCTTTTAGGGGTGACAGTATTTGCCTTGTGTCCCCAACCCAGTCTCCCCTGCTGTTTTGTGCTGGTGTTTGTAAGGTGGTGAAGAAATAACTTCTTCAATAGCCAAGAAATAAAAAATAAGAAAATAAAACCATAACAATAAAATTTATAAAATGAAATAAAAAGAAAATAGAAAATAAAACAAAATAAAAGACATTAAAAAAGAAATAACTAAGAGAATATTCTCAACCACAGTTTTGAAAAGAGTATTTGTCAATATAATGTTTTGGCTTCTTGAAGAAAATCTTGCTTAGAGCTTGTGCTCAGACTCTACATACTTTCCTTGTCATATTCATTTCCCTTTTCATGTAGTGTAGTCCAAAGCTCCTCATGTCTGAAAAGTTTAACTTGCAGCTTGCTTTTCACAGAGAGAAGAAGATTTCCCGCAGCAGTGCCCTGAAGGTGCTGGACCACGCCATGATTGGACCAGAGGGCACAGACAACTGTCATAAGTTTGTTGATATCCTTGGTCTGAGGACCATCTTTCCACTCTTCATGAAATCACCCAAAAAGATAAAGAAAGTTGGAACAACTGAGAAAGAACATGAAGGTAGGTGTGCTTCCAGATCCTTCTTACTGTCACGGAGGAGGTGAATGGAAGTGTCTGAAAAGTACCTGCAACGAGGAGGGAATGGCACACCACCAGTCTGTTCAGGGCTCCTCTTGCAGCTTTCAGGTCCAGGCAGCCTGCCCGCTCCCTGTCGCAGGCTAGCTCTTGATGACACACTTGCCCTGCTTGTTTTGTATCAGCAGTTCCTGGCGATTCCATTTCATGTGCTGTTAATAAGTTATTTTACTCCTGTAGGGTCTGTTGTTTGAAGCTCTGACTCTTTGATGCAAAACTCTTTTGGAAAGAGTAATGAGGCAACTACAAATGTCACCTCAAAAGCAGTGTTTTCATGGCTCTGAGCACTGAAGTGTGACTCCATGAACATCAGGCATTCCAGAAATAAACTGCATGCTTTTGAAGTTGCTTTTTTTTTTCCTTTTTCTATTTTTTTCCTCTCTCCCCTGGAAAACTCTGCTTTAACAGAAATCTGCTGTGGAGTCTCACTGCAGGACCTTATGCTGAACTGAATCTAGGGTCAGTCCCTCCTGCTTCTGGTAACATTACCTTTTCCATTTTGTTGATAATTGACTATGTCTTGGAAGAAACTTTAAATACTGCCAGTGGTTTTGTGCCAGTTCATTACTCATCTCAGTTCCATAAAGGGTGAATATTGTCAAAAGCTGAAGAGGTGTGAGTGGGTCTCAGGCTTGCCTAGTATCCATCCTTAACTCTTGCAGCAAACCAAGGGAAAATGGAAGAAAACGGCAACAAAATGGGAGCTCTAAACCCAAATACCCTGCTTTGGTACTGTCCTTGCAACTCAGGTGAAACCAGATGTCCTGATGTTCTCCAAAGCAAAGGCAGGGAGGTGCTGCCTCCTGCAGACCTCGCCGGGCGCTGGGCTGAGGCGCTGGCTGGGACTGAGCACCCCCTTTCTCTGGAAGAGCTGCAGAGCTGGGGGCAGCTCGGTGTGCCCACCTTGTTCTCGTCCTTCCTGAGGACAGGGTGGTGAGGAAGAGGAGGGGCAAATTCAGCAAGCGGCTGTTTTCTTCTTGAAAACTGTGCCAGTGGTGAGCTGGTAACTACATTTGTTCTAGAGCACCAACATTAAAAGATGATAACGCTCTGTTAACGAAGGCAGTGGCTTGGCGAGGCATGCTTAGGCTGTGGAGGTGGGCTGAGGCGGGGTGGTGGGTCGAAGCAGGAACTGGCCGTGCCTGGGCTGCGTGTGCACGCGTGGCGGCGGCTGCTTTCCTAGCACGGGTGGAGAGAAGGGGCTTACCTGCGGCCCGGCGCCAGCCGTAGTAACGATTCACACACAGGCTGCCAATTCTGGCTGCCTTATCTGTCTTGTATTGTGTTACTTGTCTTGGATAGATAATGGTGAGGAAGAAATGCTGTCGTGTGTTCTGGGGTTTATGTAATAAATTGCAGAGAGTGCAGTTGCGCTTAGATGATGGATTTAGGGGATGTTTTGAAATCTTCATTTGCAGTATGAAAATAAGGTTGTTTAATTCTTCTTACTGAGAGAAAGGTTGAGCTAGAATATGAGCTTTTGAGTACAGAGATCTGGCTCTGTGGCTCATGTCACTGACTTAATTTTTCAGTTTGGGAAAGTGAGTTAATCTCTGTCTCATCTGCTTCGTCTTGAGACTGCAGATGACATCTGTGTGCAATCACGGCTACTGTGAGGATTAGGTAGCAGTCTGGAAAACCCTAAGAGGGTCAGTTCCTGCCCTCAGGAAAATGGAGTGACCTGTGCAAACAGTCTTTGTAACATACCTCAATCTCATTAATATTCAGAAGAAATGGAGGACATTAAGATAAGTCCAGAAATCGGTTTTATTAAAATAAACTCTCCCTAAAACGCTGTGGTAGTAAGTGCAATTTTCTTTGTTTTGCATCACTGGGCAGGTGAGTTACTGAATTTCTAACGATGGGAGTTAATTGAGATGTTTAATAGAGTTCCCCTGGAGCCTGTCACAGCTATTGTCCTGACACATGTATAAGCAGCATAGTATATGTTTTTACTTTGCCAAATGTTGCACCAGCAATACAGTAATTGCTCTGTGCTTGGGGGCACTGCTGGTTGATGGTTGGCTCCTGTGAGCCACTGGCTGAACAGGAATACTGCAAAGAGTCCTCCGTGCCTGCTGGCTTTAAAGGGAACGGTGCAGGTCTAGCGTGATTGAGAATCGATGCCCTCTGTGCTGTGTTGATCCTAGGAACGTGCTTCTTTCTGCATATCTCTTTGTTTATTTATCAAAAAGAATGCTAGTATTCAGTCTTCTCTTGTCATCTTTTCTTGTAAAAACTTTATCCTGTGTTCAAACTGTTCTAAAAAAAAAAAAAATTAAAAATTAATTAGAATGATCCTCTTCTGCTAGGAGAGCGTTCATGTATATGTCAAATGGAGGAACATATTCCTTTAAAGGATTAACTGGAATGGCTTTGTAGCAGAGGCATCAGTATTTGTTAAAAAGCAGTTCTAAGGATGCGCTGTGAACGCATTCACTGTAATGCCATTGAGACTGCGTCGGGACAGACACTCGTGGTTATGCTGCAAAATACGAAATTCTTAATGGGCTATTAACCCTGGAGCCTAATTACAACTGCTTAAAGGACAACCCTGTTAAAACGCTTCAGCACTGGGTGAGGTACCAAACAGCTCTGCCAGAAGCGTTTGTCCACCGAGACTCTACCTCCTGCGCCTGTCCTGGGCGTCCCTTTGTCTGCAGTGCAGAAGTGCCGCCAGGCTGCAGGTACCAGCAGCAGCTGGGGCTCGAGGGTGCTTTAGCTCTAGTTAGTGACGCTCCTCTCATTGGGCATCCGACGCTCCATCTTTAGAGCACAAAATCTTTCGTATGTGTCTGATGGTCGTAGGACAATACTCCTCTTGTTTTTATTTTATAGTAATGTTGCTTTTTACGTAGGAGATAGTCCATAAAATAATGTTTATTTTATTGTCTTGAAGGCAATGTTCTGAATGCGACAAAATAATAAATACCCTAGGGAAAAAACCTCAGTGTGACTTGGGGAGCTTTTATTTATTACAGAAATTTATAATCCAAATTAAATTTGATAAAAATAACTTTTCTGTAATGTATTTCTCTCTTTTTTTAAAAGCTAGCATAAAGGTGCCAGTGCTGGTTAGCTACATTTTAAACACTGTCAGTGTTTAAAAATTATTTTATTCTAGGGAGCCTGTGAACAATTTAAATCCAAACTGCACATATTTATGCTTTATAAACACTATGTAATTAGGAAAAAAGAAAGGGAAAATTTCTTAACCGTCTTTATGGATGATCTGAGCCTGAAGATTTGGCTGGTGGTGTCTAACTGACTACACGTTAGCTACACTTGAATTTTGCCTGACTTTGTACAGATCATGATATACTTCTGAGGGTATTAGATTTGGGAGAAAAATCGCATTTGAGCAATTTCCCTTTTTCTGAGGCAGTGAAGCAACTCAAAACAGAAATATTTTGCGGTTGAAGACAGGAACGGCTTAGTGTTTTCCTATGTCTGTGGGATCAAAATACCTGTAAGTATCCAGCTGGCTTGGCCAGCCTTACAGAGAAATAGTCCGTCTTAGAAAGTAGCGTGTCTTGGATAGGGTTTTCTTGTGAGGTTGTTGAATCGCGTTAGCAGGGTCCCCCTTAGATGCTGCTTGGCATTGTGTGGAGCGGATGGAAAGGCAGATGAGGCAGGTTATAGGAGGTGGAGAATTAATGACAAGTATTACTGCAGAAATGCATTTAATTCCCCTAGGTGCTCAGTGTTTGTTTTTGTGATTGACTGCTCCCTGCAATCTTCCTGTTAAAGGATTGTGATCCCTCTGGTAGTGTCATCCAGACGGGTGTCGAGTCAGAGATGGAGCACCGCGTACAAGGTACGATATAGCGTAGCGTGGCCGTAGCCTTTTGTTGTGGCTTATCTATATGGTAAGCAAGTAACACATGGTAGTATAATGTAGCCTACCTATAGTGAGCATTGGTAGAAAGGTAAAGGCCAAATTGTGGAGAAAATGTGCTCTTGGTCAGTCTAGACTGGGGGCTACGTTATACGTATAAAATGGTGAGATCTGCCGTGTTCGTGTGTCCTGACAGGGCACCCTGGGGGGAGCCCGGCCGCCTCGTGGCTTCAGTGGAACGGAGCTGGAAGGGCAGAGAGGGCAGAGGCAAGCGTCTGGTGTGAGTGATTGCAGGGAATGAAGGGGAATTTGGCTCTGGGTGGTTCTTGGCATGAATATAGGGTAAGATTTAAAATAATGCTTCTATATTGTGAATTTTGAAATGCAGGGCATGCTGTACGAGTGTGTCTGTTCCAAAATTTCTTCTGTTGCAGAGCTGAGGGTCAGCTTGTCTTCACTGTCTGTAGGGGTGTAACGGCTCTTGGTGCTGGAATTCCTGCAGCAACAGTCGAATCGAAGTGTTGGATGCTAACTTGAAATTCTTGAACAGTCTCAGTGAGCTAAAAATGGAGAAAACACAAATTCCTTCTGAATTAGAGAGTCTGTAGTGAAGCAGTCATAACTTGCTTGATAGGCTGTATGTTCTCCTCTTTCTCAGGACAGTTATTTGCAGTCTAGTTTTGCTCACTTGGAGAGTCTAGTGAACTATAAAAGGATGTTTGTCCAATTCATCTTCATTTAAATGCCTTCTCTTGACTTAGATGTCAGTTTTACTTAGGAATACTTAATTTGATAACCTGAGAATTAGTTCAGCCAATTTCCAAATGAGAATTCCTGTCACTGTTTTTTTGCCTGTTCGCCCTCTAACAATAAAGAAGCCTCTTTTGGAGATACTCAGCTATACACTTCCTTTAAAAAAAAACAACAGCAAAACCCATTTCTTAGTAAATATGCTCTTACTCCTTTGTAACACACCGAAAGGCAGCAAAGCCCTTGGAATGAATACCTGCTGCAGAACTAAGTTCCCTGGGCATGGAAAAGTGAAAAGGCAGCAATGGAAAAAAGGCCTGATAAAGAGTTATCTTTA